ACTCGTAGGTTTGTTTATTCTCATGTGTTTCTTCAAAAATATTCTGGACACTTAAAACTGTTGTCTATTCCACAGAAATAAATTTTAAAATAAACTAAAGAAACGTAAAAATTATTTCTCTTAGTCATAAACTGAATATGATATTCAAAGTATTAATTTAAGTGAAAAATGAAGAATCCACTCATCCAGAATTCGGTTTATGAACTTTTAACTTAAGAGAAAATTGATCACCGGTGCTATCATTAATCAGATTATGGATCGAAATTATTTTATCTCAGTTTAAACATCGTTCGTAACTGATTTTTCATATTAGACAGTTTTTATTAAGAAAGATAAATCGAAAAATGTCTTTAGTCTTTTCATCAATAACGTCATCATCGACATCACATTTTATAACTTAAATAATATGAGTGAAAATGCTTGTTAGATTAATTGTAATTTAATTATTTATACACAGAAATTGTAAAGAAAGTTTGAAATTTTTAAAAAAATAACCAACAGTTCGATTTTCATTTAACATGGCTCTTTTCTGTCGCGCCGCGCTACGCGTTGCTCCCAAGAGACACGAGTCACGCGATGGCGTCAGTGAGCTTTTTCCTCACAAAACTTCTAACCCAATCACGAGACACTACTAGAAAAAAAGTCTTCAAAAATTAAACGTGCCCGTCGATAAGAATGATTAAAGGTGGTACCTACAACGTTATTCGTAAAGTACACCTACAAAACAAGATCATTAATAACATAACAGATTACTTAGTATAGACAACGGTGAGGCAATACTTATGATCTTCACCCCTACCGACTAGACACATGTGCATTAAACGAACTTAAGACTCGAAATTTTATTATCTAACATACTCGAGGCAGCGTGAGTTTGTCGCCTAATGACCCTAAATAAGGGCACTCCTCGCCCTAGACTAGGGTTGGACTGTCGCGTCCAGCTGTGTGCATATGCAGGCAGTTACAACTTCGTCTTGTCAGTTGGACCCCATGCAGGTATACGGCACGGTTGTGATTGATTGAGTAAAATGGTTATTGCAGGATGCTAATGATTCTGTCAGTTCATTTGGCCCTCACCCACCTCCAAACAACAACAACGACAGCTATTAATCTTCTGCCAGACCTTCGCCCTAGCCTTTGACTTCTAAGAAAAGATTTTCACTCTTTTCGATATATAGAAGTAGCACCTCTCCCTTTACTCTATACTTCACCACTTTATCACGCAACAAGTCCGATAACCCCCTACCGATACCCTTCTGAGTAGAATGTAGTTTTGAAGTGCACTATTCTCTTTTAATAGCTTCATGCTTTAAATGATGCAAATAGGAAACATCTGCAGGTCTCTATGATCCAAAACTAAATTACTCATTAGCTTATCTATAACCTCGTAAGCTTAATGTGAATTCTTTGGGAAATGGTTTCATGCTTTAATTTCCGTAGAGAGTGACGAATTTGCTACATTTAATTATAAATAGGATTTTATTTTTTTTTTAACTTTACATTATTTATTCTATTATTATTAATGACCATGATATATTTCTGCTAACTCTCTTTAACTTCTCAATTTAAAGTTATACTTCACACCACTTCTCTACTTCAAGTTGTATTACTGTCCTACTAAAAAAAATCGAATTACCTGAAAAAAGAAGAGAAAAACCGTCTTTTTATAATGCAAAATTCTCTATTAAAGAAGCTATTTTACAATTATTTCGGATAAATATTAGCTTAAGTGTCATCAGTTGGCACAAAATTATCACAATGCGAATCAGTATACACCAGATGATACAAAATGGCCGATGCCAGGTGCTAATACTATATTTAGGTCGTAAAATAGCGCTAACAGATGGTTTTAGATGGCTTGCTATGAAACTAGAATTATAATTTAGTCTGAATTCATTAAACTTATTAAGAGTTAATGGTTGACAAGCCCATTACAAGTCGCCTAAGAGCTAGCTATTTTACAAGAAGAAGAAGAGGGAGAAAAAAAAATCGCATTCATCTTTCATTAAAAAAATAATTAAATCCGGAACAATTCTGAAGAGTTTATAAATGAATGTATCAGCAGTATTTTTTTTTCTTTCTGAATAATTGGAATTTTACCTGGTACCAACCATCATAAAGTTAGTCTAGTATCAACTAGTGTTATCGATCGAATAAATGTTTCAAGACTCATACATTATTCACACAACTTCTACGACAAGTGTCCACCTCCGCTCTCATAACTCCTAAGATAATAAACATCGTCTTCACCTGCTTCTCCTTTATCGTCTTTAAACGAAATGAAGAGAAATGACTAGGATTATTAGTATTAGATAATAATAACACGTGTTATAATCACGTATGATAATAGTTGATATGGTTAATTTTATAAGAATCCCAGCTTTTTAATTTCGAAAGTTATATTATAGATTATCTCATCTTAATTTAACATCGAAATAAATTCGAGGGTGGATTAAATGTGGTTTAAAAGCAAGCTATTGTTGTGTTTGCCTGTATTGTTATTCCAGTTTTAAGGGTTGACAGGGTATAGATGCTATGATAAGATGGCAAAGTTGACTTATCTTCCTCCGTCTGAGTCTTATTCTGTTTACTTTCTAATGGAAGCCAAACAACGAAGAATAAAAGGCGTTGGGAGACAGATAGTTTCCTACCTGTCTACCACCTGCCGGGTTGCAGTACGAGCGGAAAAACGTCTCCCAGTCGGAGGTGTCGCCAGCTAGCGTTCAATCACCTCATCACCCTCATCATCCGGACTCGTTAGGATCTCCTGCATACACTCGACAGACTTTACAACCGTCCAGGGCCGTAAAGCAACCAGTTGATGAGTATCGGCAAAGATGGCTCACACCCACTGAACACCTTCTTTAGCTGGGTATATAGACGGGCTTACCGTTCCTCTAAGACCGGTTACGACAACCAATAAACGATCTCGTTTAGGATCACGTGGTGCCGGGCTGGATTTTTATTAGTCACGGAGTTCCCTTTCCCCCGAGTGTAATTTAGAGGACAGCAGAGAGAAAATGTGTTTGTGCGAGCGGGGGTGGAAATTCGTTGGAACAAGGGAACATCCGGATGATGAATGCGGCCATTACGTTCCTCCAAGAACTGCCACAGCCCTCTCTTTACCCTGATTGTGGTCAGTTGTTAGTTGTCTCCTATGGTCGATTCTCTTTTGTAACCCTGCAAATGGCTTTATAACATCTGTTTTGTTACCGTAATAGAACAGCTAACAATTAATCTATCGCGAAAATCTTGTGGGACTATTCATAAATATTTTTATTTAATCAAACTAGAGAGTCATTTAAGGAAAAACACACCCATTGCATCATTTATAGGTCATCGGTTCTGGATGACTCATTCTTATACCCAAAGCTCCCTGGAGAATACTCAGAACGTTACTTCGCCACTAACAGCTGCGACTTTATAATTTTTCCAAGAATTGTCGAATATTTATAACTCTTCTCGAGCAATAATCAACACAATTCTATATTTGGTTTTTTTATTTACTTCACACAAAACCTCTTTCCAGTTTGATAAAGCTTAAGAATAAACAAACGGATGAAGAACGAGAGAAATTGTTTACATCAAAAAATAAGATAAATCTCCTTTTAAATTGAAATTCTGAAAATTATTTTCCAAGAAAATTAAAATAATTTTAATTTAGTAACATTGTGTTCATTGTTAGAGTGAGTATAAGTGAACAAATAGCCCATTTATGGTGATGTTTTCTGCATATCTTTTATAAATAGTTAAAGAAAGTGAGTTTTATCGACACGCGTGACGCATTCTTTTCTCCTTTATAGTGAATACTGCGTGACAGCTTTAGGTGCTCGTTAAATGGGTATTATTCACTTTGATATGACCGGGTTGATGCCACAATAAAACGACGTGCAAAGATAAAAAAGAGCTAACCTGTTGGCCGTAATATCCAGCGAGTGTCACATTCTTACCATTCAAGATGTTTGTATTATTATGTTGTCGGGTGTTTAGCGTCAACATTTCTCACATTCTCCAGCTGTATATTTGACACATTATCGTTGCTGCATCGTTCGCACGTCTGCTTTCTAACCCTTCTCTACACTAGAACACATTTGTATTCTTCCTTCCGACCTTCTTTAATGGAAGTCGAATGGTGACAAAATATCGTAAAGATGTACGGCGTTAATTATGTTTGTTTTAATAAAGTTATAACAGTTCGTTAATTAATATTTATTGTCGGAAGAGAACGGTAAAAAAGCGACATTTTAACAAAATAAAAATTATATTAGCAGGTTTATCCTCAGTTCGATGGCATCATTGGAAAGAGGACAGGTGTCATTGAAAAATTGCTTTCTCACTCATCTGCTGAACGTTGTCTTCTTTCGCAGAGTTAAAGGGCTCCAATATTTTATTCATTCTCTGTAGATGAGTTCTATCTATTTCCTTTCGGTTGACCCCCGTGCCCAAGGGTGAATCTAGGATTTTAGTTCATAGCTTCGATTGCTTAAATTTGATCTATCCGCCCTTAATTATAAAGAGGGAAGAATCACTCGGGGCTCGATTTCTACCAGGATTATTGATCAAACGGAGAAGTGTCCCGTCCCTCCAATGGAAGATGATGGTGAAAGTAACGCAATAACCCCGGAGAAGATGGTAGAAAGCGAAGGATGGCAACTAGAGCAACAAATGAGGGAAATTGTAGCGTGTAGGTTCTACTCTGTAATTTCGGAATTAGTCGTAATTGGTCAACAAACACTTTCGAGACATTCTGATCAGGCATCAGTGGACCGTTCCCCCATATTTCGTGTCTCACACCTGGGTGGTCAAGCACGTAATAACGGTTGATGCGAACGAGACGTAACAGTTGGCCAACGTAGAAAATGGGGTAGTTGCGTGATGAACTCGCGGAAGAATCGAGGGCGAAAACAACAACTGAAATATTAACAGTATATTTACACCCTGTTTACCGGTCGTAAAGACTTTTTTGGCGTTACGTTAAAAAAGGAAGCGGTAGTAAAGCCTCATAGTGTTACGTGTCCATCCACCCCTCGCTTCACGAATGGGTACGCCCTTGGTGCAGTGCACGACTCCCCAGCTACCTGGGGCCTCAGAGAAAGTCGGCGACTGTGTCAGTCATGCTGTGGCCATGTGTGCGGTGATCTTGGTGTTAACTCCACTTTGCTGGAACTGTCTGTACCTCCTGCTACATGCGTGGATTACATTTGCCTCTCCATGTAAGTCAAAACGTCAAACTTTAACTCGATCTCTTTAATTTTCTACACTAGGATTAGTCTAGATCTGATAGGAGGATTTCATGTTAAATGTCCACTTCGAACTGTCATTACATCATTTAAAAAAAATAAATTTGCTGATATTTATATAGAAAAGTTCACTTTAGATTATTATTTTTTTCTTTTTTTTTGTAATATGCAAATGTTCGATTCTGAAGGAAAAAGCAAACTATTAAATTAAAGCTAGAATTGCTCTGAAACGATAAAATTCGAAAAAAAAAAAAATATTTGAAAATTGCTTCTAGATGGAGAAGTGGAAGAAAAGAGGGGGAAAAAAAGGCATTTATATCGATTTTAAACGAGAATTTTATCTTTAAAAAAATCCCTAAAAACTGCACACCTAAATAAAAATCATTGGAGTAGTTCACTAACACCATCCATATAATTATTACACGATCTAGTAAATATATAAAGAGCAAACTCGATAAAAATATTGCATATTTTTTCTAATATTATATTTAACTATTCTTGCTACACACTCGAGTGGCACATTAAATATTTAATTATTGAAAAACAAATTTTTCTTCATAAATAACGTATAAAGAGTGCTGTTGCCACTTTTCTCGATTGGCATTTTTTTTTCTTTTTTTTTCTTTTTTCTTCATTTTTATTGATGAAAAGTATACAAAATATTACGTAGAGTGGGAAAGAGATGTAATTTTTTACGTAACGCTAATGATTTATATCCTATTATAAATTAATGTATTCGGTGGCTAATTTAGGGCGGAACCACATAAAACATGGATTATCGAACTGTTTCATAAAATTAGAATCTCGATTTAGTTAATATTTTATTCGTTTCTATCGGAGATCTTTTTATTTATTATTTATTTTTTTTTTAGATAATTTTTAATCGCGTTAACGATTTTCATGCATTAAATTAGCTAAATATGTTCGTAATTGGAGTTTATGTATCCTCCCTTCCTATCTAAATATGGTGAATCGAATGGAAAAACGAGTTTCGTAAGTAATTTACACATAAAATTAATTTTTCTTCGCTTTTAATAAAGTCGTTTCTCCATAAACTTTTCGATTTTTTTTTCTCCTCCTCTTCCTCCTCCTCCTCTCATCGTGTTGTATTTAATTCGTAAGAGACGAAATCCCAGTTTTAAGTAAAGATGTACAGGATGTGAGTCGTTTCCTGTTTGTCCTGTGCATCAGTCAAAAGTTTATTTTTGACTAGAGAAATAAATCTACCGTTTTTAATGGAAACTAGTCAGCGGGAGGACGAAAATTTATGGACTGTTAGTAAGGGCTACAAGTGATTTTAAAGGAGTAAATCGTCGTGTGATCAGTTTTATGAAGAGAAAGAACTGTAAAGCACCCTCTTGCCTATCTTCTAGCTTTTTATATGCATGCCTGATTATGATTATAGATTACTATTGACCGCTCAGGGCAAGTCGGTGTAGACAGGCTGCTTGAGATGCAGCAAAGTTCAAGGCTAACGGTTGATAGGATAGATTCTGTCACCCGAATCTACTCCATCATTCACAGAATGGATTTTTTACTGCTAAGGATGAATTTCCCATATTCGCTCAAACAAATCTGAAAGGTTCTCTTAAAAAAATGGCCTTGACATCATTCACCAACTTCCATAACATCTTATTATTATTTATAAAATAAACGTTGGTTGTTATATAATTTTTATATTTTTCTTCCTATCCGCCAGAATGACATATTTTTTTTTAGATTTACAATGGAACTATTCTTATTTTCCTCTTTTGACTTTAAAAAAATGCTACCATTTCCCATTTCGCTTCAAAATACGGCTAGATCTTTAGGATATCTTTTCTCATCTCCTGCTGGAAAGATAGTATTACTGTTCATTTTTTAACTTCTACCACGATGATATATCCTATTTTCTATCGTAGTAAAAAAAGGCAGAGCCTATATTACCCCATTTCACTGAAAAAAGTGAGTAGCCTACATCGGTTTCTATTGTGAACCCAGCAAAAATATGATAGACTTTCCCACCTTTCTTCACAAAGAGCTTCTCATTTTCGCCTTTTTTGAAAGGACGTTGCTCTATTTTTCGTTATGTTCCATTTAAACCTTACTAAACTACTGCCCTTTAACACAAAGGTTAAGGTTAAAGTAATTTTAACATAGAATAGAGATCTAAAATCTATTCTTATTCGTTAAAAATCACAATACGTTGTGAATACAGGAAGCTTCCGATTTTCGGACATAATCAGTCCAATAATATAGTTAAGTGTTACATAAACAGAAGAATTATAACAGGAAAGATTTTACTTTAAACAATAAAAGTTAATTTCCACTAATTATTTTGAATCCAAAATTAACTGAGACATAGTCGAAAATAGATTTAGGAGGCGTAAAAAGTATTATACACGCGTTGTCCGAAAGTTTCCTTTATCAGGAGCCAGAATTTTTGAACGAAATATCTCATTTTAGTCTCATTTATCCATTGCTCTTTAATGGCCTTAAAACTCGATTAAAGCAGCACAAAGCACACGATTCATCTCCGTCCAGGATGTCCAAGCGACTGACAGTTCCTCATTTGAACCTATCTCTTTATAAACACAAAATATTAATATGATGTAGAGACTCATTAACAGTCTATGTAACAATATGTAATGCTTCAATTTTGAGATGCTAGAGAATTATTCTTCGAGCGTGCATCTTTGCTGACACAGAGTTGCAGATAGACTAGAAATATACTATAAAAATATACAAGAGCTTCTTTAAGAATTGATTTTTTGATATGCCATATCTATATATAGTTTCGATTCATCTAAGCATTAAAAGTGGATGAAAACAGAACAGATGCACTACAGATACAAAATAATAGATAAAATCATGAATGACCCGTGTACTATTCATTCACATTTATTTACCAACAGCTGCTACATCCCGTGTTGACACACGTACGAGCTAGAAGTGTTGCAGTGTCATCACGCAGGGTGCAGACATCCCGTTAGGAACCGGCATAATTAGCCAACCCGACCCTAAGCGTGACACCGTCCTACTGTAATTTATTCACCCGAACCGCCTCGATATCTATCTAAGAGTGTAGAGCAACAAAGTCTTAACAATCTTGGAGAAAACTTAATTAGTCAAGTCTCGACTAGGCAGTAATAACTGACCATTAAATTTACAGAAAATTGTTAAGCAGGATTTCAGGTCGCCACAGTGACATTTATAGCCGGTTTGAAGTAACATATTACGTAATGCAGCCACCACGTGAAAACAGTTAGCTTCAAGCACCTGTCAAGTCGGCCAGAGAATACGATCTCTTTTGCTAACCTACGACCGGATAGCAGTCATACTTCTCATGATTTACGGAAATGAGAGCATTTCTCTAATGTAACTCGGATTACAGTGTTGCCAGGTGAAGAAAGGATTCCTCTTCCTGACTAATTCTAACTCCCCTAGCTTATGTGATTAATATAGGATTACCAATCGTGACGAGGGAAAAACCTCTCGTAAATAATTTCTATAACTATCGTAAATATCGTTTACGTTAGTTACGATCGCTAGACTCGTATATATATATATAATGAATTAATAAATTACATTCGTTATTAAATTCTTATAATTTGAAAAGTTGTATAATTTGTTAATCTTTCGCTCCAGTTAGAAAGTATTGTTATTCTTCTTTTAATGGCGTGCTCCTCAAATGTTTTCGATTGTAAGGGCTTCAAGGTTGCAGATAAGAGCCTAAATTAGGTCTACTTTCGGAGATAACAAAGAAAACTTCCTTTTCACAACATCAATGTCCACTTCTATGGCTCTTTCTTTCTATAAGACTGCTGTTGTAAATTTGGTTCAACTACAGTTAATTTGTAGCTCGATCTTGAAATTTGTAGCTTTTTTTTTTTCAGAATTATATTATAAATGTTACATTATGTAAGCAAAATTTATTAGAAAATTAGAGAAAAAAAAAACTCTTTTATATACTGATTTATATTATATATAAACAGTAACATGGTTATAAATTCTTTGAGTAAGTTTAAATAGTGATTTTTACATTATTTATCGTTTTTATTCACGTATAAATTTTTTCAGATAATGTTTATTATGTATCATATTTAAGCAATAGTTTAGTTACCAACCTTGAGTAATTAGTGACTAAACGATGCGATCGTTACTCTCTTAAAAGCTGAAAATTATAATTTTTGTCAATGGTGGCTAAATTAAATACATTAAGATTACGTTACCGATACCACTAATTACAGAATTCAGCAGCTGAAAATTCATTGACCAAATAATAACATTAAATAATAAATTAAAGATTTATTATGTTGCTAGGATTATTTATGAGAGAAAGCAAAGACAATCACGCTACTTCCATGTTTTAAACAGCCTGCTTTCATACTCAATCAATAAAGAGCATTAAGTATATATTTTAACGTGAATTCTGATAACTATCATTCTAATTTATTGCAAATTCGTCGACTCTTTATTTGTGTCCTATTAGCACGTGATTAGAAAAGTTTTCCTGGAAGGAAACTTCTCGGTAATGCACGTCGTGCAAACTTTTTCGTTTCCTTCTAACTCTGTTCCTCTATTAGATTGCCAAACAAGTTTTTCGAGGTCAAAAATAATAATATCCCAATGGAGTTTCTATAGAGTCGGGCCTTATTATCAATAGCCTTCTAGTTAAGTCCTCTGATCTGTAGGATAAGTTGGAAAGGAGGCGCGCTTAACAGCCATTGCCAGTAGACGTTGATGATTTTTCTCTCTTATCCTTCATCATCCGTGAAGAAGAAAAAAACTTTTAACGTGATTTATTACTATAATAACTCGATTCATTTATAAACATTTTAAACGATATAAAAGCGCAACGTCGACAGCAAAAATTCTACAAATACAAAAGGTTCATAGACCCGCAGACAATTGCTGTCCGTATGCAATAGCGTGTGGAAATGTGTCCCTGTCAACTATCCATCATACGTGCACGCAATGTGATTTATTGTGTA